ATTTGGAGTTTTGATGATAGCGATCTCGGCGGCTGCATCTCTATCGCGGCATGCAAAGTCCCCCGCACCCCTCCGTCTCTGCTGGAGCCAATCTGGAGCGGAATCTCTCTCTCTCTCTCCGCGCTCGTCTCCGGCTCGTGTGTGGGGCCGGACTGAGCCGGGGCCGCTGATGCCGGCGTGGGGCGGCATTCAGACGCAATCGCTGTGGATCTCGGAGAGATAAAATGGAATCCAACTGTGGGCGAGGCGTCGCAAAGGGGTGGGGTGGAGCAGGCGGAGCCTACAACGCCCGTCCATATGGCACGCGGCGACAAAAACAGCATCTAGCAGCGCCGCTGCGGGGCCTCCGAGGGCGAAAGGGGGGGTCGCTCTGACCTAGAAGTTCTGTACCGCACGGTTACTGCGCAAGCGTTAAATGTATGCAGTACGAGTACGAAACATTAACATTGAGCGTTGTTTGGTTTTCTCCCCGCGAGTCCCGGATGTGAGCAGCGCGGCCCCACCTCGGTTCCCTCTGCGCCCTCGCCCGCGCCCCCCTCACTGCAGCCCATTGTGGCACGAGCAATGTAAGCTGCGGTGTTCAAGGAATAAGGCTGCCAGGCTCTTCTTGCAAGACTTCAATTCTTGTCCCCTCCCCCCTTTCCCCTGCGTCCGCCTCGCGCAGAGGTGAGCAGGGGCTTTAGTTGTCGGGGAGCCACACGAATCAGCATATGGCCTCCCCCCACGACCCCCCGGCTCAGCCCAGCCGCCCTGCCCCACACGCTGGCCGTGCGGCCGTACGGCCGCCTGACCCCGCTGGGCTCCCCGGGCCTGACCCGGCTGGACGTGTGCCCGCGCTGGGCCGCGAGGGGGCCGTAGGGGCCGTGGGGGCGTGGCGCCGAGTGGCGTGCTCGTGATTCCTGAAGAGCTGCTGGTGTGCTCTGCCCTGGAAAGCGGCGGCGGCGGCAGCAGCAGGCAGACACGACAGGACGGGGAGTGGGGGAGGGTGGGAGTAGGCCCGGGCAGCCGAGCTAGGTAGGTAGGGCTGCGTGCCCCCCCCCCCCCCCCCC